CTTTCCTGGACCCCAGCATCTCCCCAGAGTTCCTGGTGGCCTCTGAGCAGTTCTTTTCCACCATGGTGCCTCCTGGGGTCTACATGAGGTGAGGGCAAAGCGAAAACATTTGTGTGTTGGGAGGAATGGGGATGTCATTTGAGAAAAATCTGCCCTCAGGAAAGGATTATCAGTCTGAAGTGTGCTAATTTCCCCAGAGAAGAGTGAATTTGGAGGGGGAAGAACAATTGTTTAAAAAGACATCGTTGTGGTTTTGAAGCACTTTATGTCCATTTTCCTACAGCTGGTGTATATATTAACCCCCCAATTAAACACAGGCTAATTGAGGCTCAGAGGGTGAGTCGCAAAGCCTGCTGGTCTGAATCTTAGGTCTTGACACTACACTGGGGGCATTTTTAACTATAAGCACAGGACCTGGGTCTTGCAAGCCTTTCTAGGGAATTATAATTAAAAAAGCGTGAGAGCTGAAGAGAAATTTTGACTCCAAAATAAGGAAAAGGGAAATTTAAACTAAAAATATACATATTTAATTAAATGTATATGGAACAAAACATGTCAGTTTATTTTTATAATTGCATTATAATTTAAAACAATTTGTAGGTTAGGGGCACCTGGGTGGCTCAGTCGGTTAAGCAGTTGCCCTGGGCTCAGGTCTTGATCCCAGGGTCCTGGGATTGAGCCCCACCTCCGTCCGTCTGGCTTTCTGCTCAGTGGGGAGTCTGCTTCTCCCTCTCCCTTTACCCCTTCCCCCTGCTCGTGCGCTTGCCCACGCACGCTCTCTGTCAAATAAATTAATAAGATCTTTAAAAAAAACAATTCATAGGTTAGATTTTCTTACTCTGGAACAATTTTTGGATATGCCTAATCATAGCCAAGAAATCATAGCATTTGACTTATCCATAGACAAGTAATTTCAAGAGAACAATTAAAAATCCTTTTAAAATGTTTTAACATATATATGTACACGCTCTCTGTTTGGGAATCAGGAGAGAAGAGGTGCTCTAAACAGAGCCCCATGCTGTTCAGTAATATATACATAGACAGAGAGATGGAGAAAGAGATGGGGGAAGGGAAGCATGTGCATGCTTTGGGCACATTTTTAAATGCTTTTTTTAAAGACTTTATTTATTTATTTGACAGAGAAAGAGACAGGGAGAGAGGGAACAGAAGCAGAGGGAGTGTGAGAGGGAGAAGCAGGCTCCCTGCAGCAGGGAGCCCGATGCAGGGCTTCATCCCAGGACCCTGGGATCATGACCTGAGCTGAAGGCAGACACTTAACGACTGAGCCACCCAGGCGCCCCATGTTTTTAAATGTTTACACTGACCTGGGCCTCTGGCTATGTACAGTCTTGGAGATCAGAGCTGATGCCTGACTTTAGGACCCCATGGCCTCAGTCATCATTCCCCTGCTCCTTGCATTTCAGAAATGCCAGTTGTCACTTCCAGGAGGTCATCAATAGGAACTCAAGTACCTCCAGGGCTCTCCGGGTCTGCAATAGCTACTGGAGCCGAAAGGTCAGGGCTGGGGGCACATATGTGGGTGGGTGTATGTGTGTAGTGTGTGTGTGTGTGTGTGTGTGTGTGTGTCTGAGGTATATGATGAAGGGGGACGGTAGGGCCTAGGCAGCCAGCTGTACATGCTCGAAAGTCCATCCTCCACCTCCACCTCCAGGCTGTGTGAGGGACAGCGAGGCCTATGCAGGTGTAGCTCTACATTCATTCCTTCCTTGTAGGTTTTTCTTCTCCCTTGACAGTTCTGAGTCCCCCATAGGCCTGGAGTACCCCAGCCATCCCACCCCCCCCACCAAGGAAATGTCCCAATTAGACATACCGAAGGCAATGTGTGAATGTGTATGTTGAGGGGGGAACAAGAAGGAAGGAAGAGTTCTGAGATTATCAGGGATAATCTGTCCCATCCAAACCAGGCCAGTGTGGGTAAAGAGCATTGATGAATAATTTAAAGCAAAATCTGATACTTTGTGTAGAGTGTTCACGAGAGAAGAGAGGTAGAAGGAAAAGGGAGAAGAGGAAAGCACAGAATCAGAGTGATAAAGCTGAATTGAGGACGACCTCAGTATCCTCCTAATTGTTTTAATTTAATTTAACTTAATTTAATTTTATCCCTAATGCCCTTTCTATTAAGGAAAAGGCACTGAGTTCAGAAAGGTCCTGTGATTTGCCATGGTCACACAGCTGCTCACTAACAGAGCAAGGACCAAGACCTAGATGTTCTAGTGTCTTTGTTGATCATACTGTCAAGTCTCCTAAAATAGAAGTAAAGTTTTAGATCCCTTGTGTTTGTGGGGACCTGTCTCCCAGCAGCATGAGCTTTGGATGGGGACATCACTCACCCTGAGTGGGGAATCAACCTATGGAGGAGGAATGGCCTGCTGGTTTCAGAGCACACATCAGCACTGGGTGGACCCAGGACATGGACTGTGGTGTGGGGAGAGCCTGGCTGCTCCACCTCCAGCCCCATCTTCTCTCCCCATTCCCAAAGCATCCAAACCTACGGAGAGCTGAAGATGTGGATGCGCTACTGCTGGGCATGGCCTCCCAGATCGCTGAGCGAGAGGACCATGTCGTGGTTGAGGATGTACTAGGTGAGGCTGAGGCTGTCCCTGAAGGCTGTGCCCTGCTAGCCCCTGGGTGGGGATTCTGCTGGAGCTCCAGTGTCAGGCCAGGAGGAGTGTCTGCACCTGGGAGCCTGTACTCCTTCACTGCTGAGAGATGTGGTGACCATGGTTCCCTCTGTGTGATTCTGGTCCCGCCTGGGGCTGGTTGGAGCCTGGGTCTGGGCTAGTGGAGCTGTGGTGGCCCTGAGCTCCCTCAGACTCTCTGCTATTTCATCCCCAGATTTCTGGCCTGGGCCCCTGAAGTTCTCTCGTACAGACCACCTGGCTGGCTGCCTGCAAAGGGGCCGGGATCTGGGCTTGCCCTCTTATACCAAGGCCAGGGCAGCACTGGGTCTTCCTCCTATTACCAGATGGCAGGACATCAACCCTGCACTCTCCCAGAGCAACCATACCGTAAGGAGGGGTTGGGACACGGAGGGCAGGGTGGGAGGGCCAAGGCACATTGGCCCAAGACATGGAAGGGAGGCAGTGAGACACAAACACTAGAGACAAGTCGCTGGGGAGAAGGATGGGACTCACCCAGGTGGCTTTTCCCAGTATCGTACACCAGGATGGAAGTTTCCAGACCAGTAGGATTTGGCAGTATATCTTGTGACTCTGCAGATCTAGCAAATGTTTGTTGAGCATCTCTTGCATGCTAGGCACTTAATAGGCATTATCTCATTTGCTTTCCCAACAACCACGTGAGCAGGTGTAGAGGGTCCTCGACCCAGGAACAAGCTATACTTTTTTATACACCGATACTCAAGCTGCCCTTGGGGAGTTAACTGTCACACCCTGAGCTATCACCTGGGCAAGTGGCATTGCCTGCCAGCCAACAGACCAGTTTTGGTGGCCTTAGCATCTTGGCATAGTGGCGTTTCTGCAATTGCATGCTTGTTTTATTGCTTTCGTCCTTACTATTCTATAAGATTGTTGGAAAGTGGAGAATTGAAAGGCTGATGAAGAAGCAATACGCACATGGGGCTTGTAAGCTTTATAAAATCAATATAAAGATAGGAATCACCAGGCATACTGAAAGTAGCAAATCTTTAGCTTACCTGGGCCTCACTGGAATTAAGCTGGGCAAATGTTTGTTTACATTGCAGAGAAAAGAACTAAAGTAAAGGTCAGGTAGAAAATGCTGCTCATATAATATTGAAGTCTGTCTCCAAAAAGCAATGTATATGCAGGGATTTGATTTTTAAAAACTTTTTTAGCTCTAAGAATAGAAACCTTTTCTAATACATCATTCTACCTTTCCAACTTTTGTACTGGTTTTGACCCTCAACTTTCATACTGTTTTGAGCACAAGCCACATAGGGAACTGGCTGCCTGTTTTGTTCCAACTTTCTAAAATAGGCAGCTGAATCTGTGAGCGAGTTCCCATAAATGAGTTAACTTGTGTAAAGCACTCGGAGCGGTGCCTGGGGCATAATAAGTGATGATTGTCACTGTCATTTATCATTATCATCCTGGGGGCTGATCCCTGCATACTACCTCTTTGCCCCAGGGTGGGTGCCAGGTCCTTGCACTCACTCGTGTCCCTTCTTGGCCCAGGTACTGGAGGCCACAGCTGCCCTGTACAACCAGGACCTGTCCTGGCTGGAGCTGCTCCCCGGGGGGCTCCTGGAGAGCCATGGGGACCCTGGGCCCCTCTTCAGCACCATCGTCCTTAACCAGTTTGTGAGGCTGCGGGATGGCGACCGCTACTGGTTTGAGAACACCAGGAATGGGTAAGGCCTGCCTGGGTCCCTTCCTCAGACTTCACCTTGGCCTGGGACCCAGGCCCTCTGCAGGTGCTATCAGCAGCCCCATGGGCCCTTGATTCCCAGCTGGCCTCCCACGCTCCTCGGCCCCTCTGGGTTTCTTTCCTCATCTGGGTCCCTGGGCCAGAGCAGGCATCTCTCTCCCAATGCAGCAGCTCCCCACCTCTCCCACCCCCAGGCTGTTCTCTGAGGAAGAAATTGCAGAGATCAGAAACACTTCCCTACGGGATGTTCTAGTGGCTGTCACCAACACGAACCCCAGTGCCCTGCAGCCCAATGTCTTCTTCTGGCATATGGGTGAGTGGCCAGGGGGTGCTTGGAGGGGCCTGGGGTCTGGTGTCTCATCCCTCCTCATCCGTGGGCCTGGTTCACGTGTGGTTGGGCAGTAGACTCCAAGGAGGCAGTGAGCCATGTTTCTGCCCTTGAGAACTTTGGTTCTGGGCACCAAGGTGGCCACATGTGGCTGTGTAGGTCCCCTTCTGCACAACTCCAGAGGGTACCCAAGTGGGGACAAGACTGAGACTCAGAGAGACCTAGGGAGGAAGGCTCCCATCAGCTGGGTTGAGCCTGGGGTGGGTGTGATATCAGGAAGGCCCAGTGCAGTGAGGATATCCTAATCCCACAGCAGTGACAAGGGAAGGGCTGTGTGTGTGCGTGTGTGTACATATGTGCATGTGAGGGAGAGAGAAGGCTGAGGTTCATTTTTGACCCCACTTGTTACCCCACTAGGCAAACACCACATTCTTGGTATACTGACAGGGGTAAGCAGCTCTCACCCCTCTGCTACCCAGAGGGCCCCCCCCCTACCCTTTCTGCCACTCTAACCTCCTCGGTGATTCTGTGCCAGAGTCTCTGGCCCAGCACGCCCCAGGACTCTAGCTTCCTCTGTCTCCCCAGGAGACCCCTGCCCGCAGCCAAGACAACTCAGCACTGAGGGCCTGCCAGCCTGTGGTCCCTCCATCATGCGGGACTATTTTGAAGGCAGTGGATTTGGCTTTGGGGTCACGATCGGGACTCTCTGCTGCTTCCCCCTGGGTAAAAGTGATGGGCAGGGTGGTGTTGGGTGAAATGCATAAGCTAAGGGGTGGCAGTGGGGTGGTTTCATCTCTAACAACTGTCCATGAGGAGTACTGTTTCTTTGGGCACATGACGAAAACATCAGAGCAGGAGGGGACATGAGAAGTGTGTGACCTGCAGATAAGTCAGCTCCAGGGAAATTTGCCTTCCTGTTCTCCTGGGGTCCCTCCAGGGCCTAGGTTGGTCAGGAGCCACAAGGAATCTGTATTTCACAGTTATTTGCAGGAGCCTGGGCCTGGGAAACTGTCCGAGGCAAACCCTGCTTGAGAACCAGTTGAGAACTAGCTGGGGCAAAGGCTTGAGACTTAGAGTTCGGCATGGCTGTGTGTGAGTCCGCCAGCTGTGGGGCAGAGTGGGTCCAGCTCTGGCACAAGGACTCTGGCCTTAGTCTCTGGCTAGGAAGGGACCTGAGTGGTGGAAGCAGCAGAGGCTGTGTTGGCATCTTACCCAAAGCTCCTTCCCCACCCCTACCCCACTCCCCACCAGGGAGCTTCACAGTTTGAGACAATTGAATGATCCGACCTAGGAGGTGGGGAGAGCAGCGGGTCACTGATCTCAGACTCCTACCTTCCTCTGAACATCCTCCTGCCTCTGCCCTCTCAGTGAGCCTGCTTAGTGCCTGGATTGTTGCCCGGCTCCGAAGGAGAAATTTCAAGAGGCTCCAGGGCCAGGACCGCCAGAGCATCATGTCTGAGAAACTCGTGGGGGGCATGGAAGGTAGGCCTGGAGCTGGCCAGGGTGCTGTGGGGGAGGACATGTCTCAGGGCTGCAGGCTGCTCCCACCTCAGCAGCCTAAGGAAAAGGCCTCCCTTTTCTAGGCCTCCAAGCAGGTCAGGGCAGGTGGGAAAAGCCATGGAGGCGTCAGGTGGAAACTGGACCTGGAGTCCTCCACCCTTCATAGATCCTCCCTGTGGTCCCACATAAAGGGGATGTGATAGACTCAGGGCGGGGAGTCACAGGGCCTTGACTACATTTCATAGGCTTACCATGACTCTCTAGAATCCTCGGCAACAGATGCTTTGCGGCATCTTACACTGGAATTTCAGGCAACAGAGAAGTAATTAATGAAGGTCCAGAGTCACACTGATGGAGGATTGGAATCTTGATTCCACCACTTGAGCTTTTGGGCCTTAGGCAGATTTTTTAATTTCTCTAAACCAATTTTTTTTTTTATCTGTAAAGCAGGAATAGTAATAGCACTTACCTCATGAAAGTTTATGAAGATTATATTAACCAGTTCATGCCAAGTACTTGGTACAGTACTGGGCACACAGTAAACACTCAGGAAATGGTAGTTATTCTTCACGTGGGCTAGAGGCACAGCAGGACTGTTGGGGAGGGGATGACCCTCAGTACTCAAGAAGGGGCCAGGAACTACGGAGGCCCTGACCTAACTCCAGCCCTGGGCCAGCCTCCTTTGTCCTGGCCCCAGCTGACCCAGCCCTGTCTCTCCAGCATTGGAATGGCAGGGCCACAGGGAGCCCTCCCGGCCTGTGCTGGTGCACCTGCAGCCTGGGCAGATCTGCGTGGTGGACGGCAGGCTCTCTGTGCTCCGCACCATCCAGCTGCGGCCCCCGCAGCAGGTCAACCTCATCCTGTCCGGCAACCGCGGACGCCGCGCCCTCCTGCTCAAGATCCCCAAGGAGTATGACCTGGTATGGCCCAGCTGGTCCTATTCCTGGTCCATAGCCAGGGAGGCAGCCGGGTGGAGGGGAAGGAGCACTGAATCAGGCAGGGTTTCTGGCTTCTAGTTCCTGGCTGTAGTACCTGATAGAGAAACGTGAACACATTCATCCTGCTCTGGGCCTGTGGGGTGACATGATCTCCACAGTGCCTTTTTCATGTACAGTCTTCCTCCCCGCTTTCTAAGGATGCTTTGGTGGGTCCTAGCTGGGAGTCCTTGGAAGGAGTCAGGCCCTCTTCCCTGCCCCCTGATTTTAGGATCTAGTGAACTGTTAAGAGATTTTGGAGGGGAACTCAACCAGAGACTGATTTTCAGCTCTGTCTGGCTCCTGGTCCCCTCCGTCATCTGTCCTCCCCACCTTCCCTTCTCTCCTCCAGTGCGAACAGAGAGGGAAGGATGACTGCAGACATATGTCTCTGAATGCAGTCTCTGTGCCTATAATCGAGCCCAGAACCCCACCGAGCCCAGGACATAACAGTAAATCCCTTTTACAAGGGCACTCTTCCCAGTGGCCCCTGACAAAACTCACGCAAAGCCCCTGGCCCCAGGAGGCCTCGACAAATGGTTGCTCTCCCTGTCGCCACTCTGTAGGTGCTGCTATTTAACCTGGAGGCGGAGCGGCAGGTGCTGGTGGAAAACCTTCGGGGGACCCTGAAGGAGAGCGGGCTGAGGTTCCAGGAGTGGGAGCTGCGGGAGCAGGAGCTGATGAGGGCGGCCGTGACACTAGAGCAGAGGAGCCACCTCCTGGAGACCTTTTTCAGGCACCTTTTCTCCCAGGTGTGTAGCTAGGCTCAGGTCTGTCCCTGCATGTCTGCCTATGGTGGTGCCCTCACCTGCGGGGGGCCGTGGGCTGACTCCGGGGAAGTCAGGAGCCCTGACACTACTAATCAGGTCTGCTGCATTTTGGGCCCAACCACCTGGCCTTTCTGTAAGGAGATGCTCCGCAGCGCCTACCTGTGGGACTCCAGGGAGGCCACGTCAGGAGCTTATCTGCATGTGTCACTCAGTGTGCTCCTCAGGGCTGTCCAGCCTTTCTGCCCTCACTTAACTCATCCTGGCCAAAAGCTCGCAGAAACCCAGGGTCAGTGTGGGGGCAGTGAGGACCCTTGGTCCCCCATCCTTGTTGGAGTGCAGCTGCCAGAGGCCTCCATGGGACATTGGTGCCCACCTTGCAGACTTCCATGAACTATTGAGAGGGTGTGGGGAAACAAGCCAGGAAGAGAAATGCAAGGACTTGTACCCATATCTGGCACAGAAATAAAGCCACCTGGGTCCAAAAGGGTGGAGAGGAGACGCTTGGTAAGAGATAAGATCCATTCAGCCTAGGCCCCACTCAAAGAGTTTGTCACCCCTCTGGGAAGAAAGAACAGACACAGAAAGGAAGATAACCAGCACTTCAGAATAATGGCTACAAAACTGAGCCATGAGATAAGCAGTGTAGGAGTTCAGAAAAGGTGGTGAGTCTTCAGGCCGGTGGACGGTCATGGTTCGGGTCAGATTTGGCGAGGACTTAAAAAGAGGTAAAAATTTTTTGGCTCAGAGGAAAGGACCAGGGAGTACTGAGCAGAGGTGCCCAGTAGAAGGGCAAAAAAATTAATGTTTGAGGAGAAGGAGCAGGGTTGGCTGGCCCGGGAGAGGATTCGTGAGGGAAGCGACCATTTAATGGTCATTTACGATGTGCCAGGCACATGGCTCTTGTCATTTACTCCCCAAGCCCATTGAACTTGAGTATGCACTAGAATGAAGGGACCCCCAGGTGGGGAGACTCATTGCCAGGGCCCAGGTAGGGCTGGGGCACATCCACTCAGTTCGGGACCCATCAGGGCTATGGGGACTCCTTGTGCTGGGGGTGTGAGGGTGTGCTACTGTGTCTTGGGGATAGCTGCCAACCCTCTCTGTCTGCACAGTACTTCCAGGTTTCAAGATGTTTTCCATACAGCGTCTCTTGTTGATTCTCACAATAGCCCTGTGAGATAAGTAAGGCATGTAAGAAAAATGAATGCCAGACAACTGGAGAGACTTGCCTGAAGTCACACAGCAAGTGGGTGGCAGAGCTGGGACAAGAACCCGGTCTTTTGCCTCCAGCCCCAGGCTCTTTCCACTAAAGCTCCTTGTTTGAAGCAACAAGATTTGCCTCATGAAACCACAGCCAGGTTGGGACTGGGGGCCCCTGGTTGACAGGCAGGAGAAATAGGTGCTGTGGCCTGAGGTCTGCCTGCTTCCCTCACCGCCTGTTCTGATGCTGGGGCAGCCCCTGGGCGGGCTGAAGATAGCCCACCGTGAGAATTCCCCTTTCCCAAGCACAACTTTTTCTCAACTCAGCTGAGGCTTTTTCTCAGTCAAAACGCCTTTGGGTGTAAGAGCAAGCTAGCACTGACAAAGGGTCAGTTGACTCTGAGGCTATGGTGATGTCTCAGGAATTCCAAAGGGAGGTCTGTGACCTGGCCTGGAAGGGGCAAGGAAAGGGAGAGTTGCCAGCAAACAAGGTCACTCACTTCTCTCTCTTGGCCTGCCTCGTTTTCTCTGTGTGTTTACTTCCCTCTGTCTGTGTCCCTGAGCACTTGGAAGAAGATGGTGGTCCACCACTTTTGAGTTTTCTTGTGCTCAGGTCAAGACAGACCTGGGACCTCTTAGTCCCAATTCCAGATTGTCTGCTTGTGTCAAGTGTGCATGCCTGGTCCAATCAGCTAACACAGAGGGCCAGGGCTCTGTAGAAGAAATGGCCCCAGGGACTACCTGCTGGGCACAGGGTAGGTGCTCAGGAGACAGGGTGCTGGGCAGAAACCTGGAAAAGGTGGATCCTACAAGGCTCAGCTTGACTTCAAATCAAGGAAACCTTGTCTCCTTCTCTGTCTCTCTCCCTCTGCTGCTGCCCGAGTGCAGGTGCTGGACATCGACCAGGCGGACGCAGGGACCCTGCCCCTGGACTCATCACAGAAGGTACGGGAGGCCCTGACTTGCGAGCTGAGCAGAGTTGAGTTTGCCGAGTCCCTGGGCCTCAAGCCCCAGGACATGTTTGTGGAGTCCATGTTCTCCCTGGCTGACAAAGATGGCAATGGCTACCTGTCCTTCCGGGAGTTCCTGGACATCCTGGTGGTCTTCATGAAAGGTAGGGGAGAAGGGAGTGATTGTCCAGGTAGGAGAGGATGGAAGGGGCTAGAGACTGAGGCTGAAGGGTAGCTGACCCATTGGAGATGGGGAAGTGCCAGATCAGGTCTCCAGCCATGGCAGACATCTGGGAGAACCCAGGTAGAGCTCAGGAAGCACAATGACCCCTTGTTGTGTTCAGCAGTGGGTCACACTCATGTGAGGCCCCTTCTGGCCAGCCTGGGGTTTAGGCAGGTAGGTTGGGGCTCTCACGGGGTCCTCTTCCTCCCAGGCTCTCCTGAGGAGAAGTCTCGCCTTATGTTCCGCATGTATGACTTTGATGGGAATGGTCTCATTTCCAAGGACGAGTTCATCAGGATGCTGAGGTTGGTCCTGTAGCATGGCCAGAAGAGTGGGCCAGGACAGGGACTGCTGGTGGAAAGAAGTGGGGGCATGAAGGTGGGAGCAGGAGGGTAAAGAGCTGGGGCCATATAGCCGAAGACTATTATAACTAGGAGGGGGCTTGGGATTTGGCCAGTTGGGGACCTTCCATGTGGGCTCTGAAGGCCTGGTGGGATGGCCAGTAGGCCCTCCTGTCTAGGCCTCAGGCTTCTTTTCAGGGCCTGATGGCTTCCCTCCCCCAACCCCAGGTCCTTCATCGAGATCTCCAACAACTGCCTGTCCAAGGCCCAGCTGAAGGAGGTGGTGGAGTCCATGTTCCGGGAGTCCGGCTTCCAGGACAAGGAGGAGCTGACGTGGGAGGACTTCCACTTCATGCTGCGGGACCATGACAGCGAGCTCCGATTCACGCAGCTCTGCGTCAGAGGTGGGGCAGCCTGGCCTTGGGGCTGACTGACGTAACCATTAGACACGGCAGGCCCAGTGCATCAGGCCCACCTACTTTTAGGAGCCCACAGAAATGTTTTAATCTCTTTTAAAATCAGAAGAATGAATGAATATAATAATAATAATGAATAGGTGATAATATATCCAGCCTGGATTATATCCTTTTATATACCGACACGGTTGTAAAAAATATTTATCTTTTATAAATATATGTATATGCTTTTTTTTTTAAGGGTGGAAGTGGTTTAAGAAGGTGACAGTGCCTAGGGCCCACAAAAGTCCTAATGCAGCTTTGCTCCCAGGGTGGGCAGGGTCACGATGGGGTGCGGGACAGCAGATAGAATTCTGCTTCTCCCAGCTCTCTGTCAAAGGCCCCTGTGCTGGGTGCCCAGGACCAGGGGAAACAGTGTCTCTTTGTTACAGCCCTAACCAGGCCATATTCGCCTGAGCTAGGGTGTCTGGTGGCGGGGGGGGGGGGGGGTTTGTTTGCCTTTATATCCCTTGGCTGAGTGCTCAGTTAATGTTTGCTTGAGTACATGGAGAGACCCACTTCTGTTGTCCTTCCCCCTACTTCCTGTCCCACCTGTGTCTGACTCAGGTGGGTGGGGGCTAGAGCCAGGGTGAGGAAGGGGCAGGTAGCAGGACTCTCTGTGGCCTACTCTGAGCTGTTATGGTACCTTCACAGTTTCTCACTGGGGCATGTTGAGACCAAACCCAGCCCCTCCCAGGATTACGAGAACTTGGGGGAGCTGAGCAGCCCAGGTGGGGGAGAGGGGTGAGTTGGGCAGGACACAGCTCACACAGCCCAGGGCTGGAGGAGAGCTGGTGGAGTGCAGACCCAGCACTCCTGATTCTTCAGCTTCTCACTTTTCCCAGGCAGCGAGGGCAGTAGGCACCCGGGCCTGAGGGCAGAGCAGGGGCAGGTGCCTGAAGGTGAGCCCAAGCCAGAGTCCCAGGAACATCCATCCAGCCCCTGGGGTGGAAGACCAGGCTGGGGGAGTGAGGATTATGTAGAAGGGTAGCATTGAGTCCTATTTTGTTTTGTTTTTAATTGTTGTTGTTCCTTGTTGTTTCCTTCAGATTTTACTGTGAAACATTTTAAATATACCTACAGAAAAGTTACAAGAATAGCACAAGGAGCATCCCTTTACCCTTTCCACCTAGATTTGCCTTTTGTTACCATTTTGCCACACTTGCTGTTTGCTAAAATTTGAGGGATAAAGATCTATACTTTGTTATAAACATTCTTATTTTATGAAATTCAGCTTAATCACTTTTGCCCTCTGGGCTGTAGACCAGGGTAATCTTCAAGACTGGTTTAGCACTTGGAAGTGACCTGGAGATCCTCAGGTCTCCTGTGAGAACATGGCTTTGCAGCTCAGTCCTGCCCCACCCCTCAGTGCTCAACCCAGACAGAGAGGAATAGGTGGCTCATGGCAGAGTATTTCCGCCCCAACATTTTATTATGAACATTTTTAAACACAGGAACGTGGCAAGAATTTTATGGTGATCTCCATATATGCGCCACCTAGAGCTACATTTAATTCCCAGGAGGTTTTAAGCTAAAGGGTTTAGCAGGGTTTTTGTGGCAGAATGATCTCAGCGGGCAGGTTGCACACAGTTCCTGAACTCCACCCCATAAGCCTGATACCAGTCCCAGGAGTGGGGCTGAAGGTGGACACGCATCCAGGGGACACTGCCGGGCCAGCTTTGTTTCAGGCCTTCTCCCTGCCCACTCATGGCTGGGTCTGGCTCCCACTGGTGGCACAGGCTGAGGCTGGGACACCCGAAGCCAAGGGTACTGGCCAAGGACCCTCTACAGTATGGACATGGGGTGAGTGCCAGGTCTTCCTGGGCTCTGGGGCCTGAGCTGTTGCTCTGTGTCATAGGGGTGGAGGTGCCGGAAGTCATCAAGGACCTCTGCCGGAGAGCCTCCTACATCAGCCAGGAAAAGATCTGGTGAGTCCTCCTTGGAGGAATGTTGGAGGGACGGCTGGATGGGGGCGTTGCCTTTTCTCTCCCCAGAAGGCCTGGAATCAGTGGCTCTACCAGCCTACGGTAGTGGCTTCATGCAAATTAGAAGAAAGGGCTCCTTGCTTTAGGCAGACCCAGCCCTGCACCAGGAAGAGCAGAGAGCCTGCTGCCAAGGTCACATGCCCTTGTGAAGGGCCCAGCTGTATGTGTATCCCCAGGATCTAATTCATTCTCTCTCTAGGTCTCAGTGGGAATCCTGCTGTCCCCTGCCTGTGAGCTCTGACCCTTCCTCCATAGAGTCGGTCTGAGGACAGACCAGGGGCAGCAGAGGATCGAGTGGCTCAGGTGGCCAAAATCCTATCTCTCTCATTCCTGTCCTAGTCCCTCCCCCAGAGTGAGTGCTCGCTGTCCCCACAGCAACCCTGATGTGGAATGTGCAGCACAGAGACTGCAGTGCCCCATGGACACAGACCCTCCCCAGGAGATTCGACGGAGGTTTGGCAAGAAGTACGCCTGCTCCTCTCCTCAAGCCCGGGCGGTTCATCCATCCCTTTAGCATGCAGGGGTGCAGGCAGGATGCATAGTTCATGCCCGGGAAGATCACAGTCTGACAAGATGGACTGGCACATTGATAATTACAGTGTCCCACTGATGAACGTTGCAGTGGTCAGAGCAAGGGGCTTCAGAGCTCAAGGAAGTGCTCACCTCTGCCTGGGAAGTCAAGGCAGGCTTCCTGGAGGGGGTGTCTTCTGAGCTTCCAGTAAAGGGTGAGAACCGAGCAGGGTAAGAACACGCAGCGGCAGACTGGGAGGGGAGAGGGCTGTCTGAGTGTGAGTGGGAACTGGGCTAGAGGGAGTGCATCCCCTGGGATGAACTGACCAAGTGAGCACTTGCAAGGCTGTCCCTATGCAGGGGTGCATAGCCAGAGCCAAGACTTCCTGTCCCCCAGGGTAACATCGTTCCAGCCCCTGCTGTTCACGGAAGCTCACCGGGAGAAGTTTCAACGGGGCCGGCGCCACCAGACCTTGCAGCAGTTCAAGCGCTTCATCGAGAACTACCGCCGCCACATTGGCTGCGTGGCCGTGTTCTACGCCATCACTGGGGGCCTTTTCCTGGAGCGGGCCTACTGTGAGTGCAGGCAGCTCTGGGGTCGGGGCTCCTGTGGGTGCAAGGGGCCTGCTTGAACAGAGGCTGCGGGGGCAGTGGGGGGAGGCCTGTGTGAGGGGTGGCGCCTCTCAGCGGGGCTCTCTCCTCCACACTGCTCCCCTCTTACCCACCTGGGCTCCCCAACAGACTACGCCTTTGGGGCTCACCATATGGGCATCACGGACACCACCCGTGTGGGCATCATCCTGTCCCGGGGCACGGCCGCCAGCATCTCTTTCATGTTCTCCTACATCCTGCTCACCATGTGCCGCAACCTCATCACCTTCCTGCGAGAGACCTTCCTCAACCGCTACGTGCCCTTCGACGCCGCCGTGGACTTCCATCGGCTCATTGCCTCCACGGCCATCGTCCTCACAGGCAGGGCCCCGGAGTCCCAGGGGTTCTGTCCACGTTCTCCTGCTCCCTGCTGCCTGCCCCTCCTCTCTTTTGTGCTTCAGTGTAAGCCCTAGATGTCCTTCTCAGAAGGATGGAGCTGGCCCTGCAGTGGTGTGAAGTGAGCCCAGGAGCAACCCACCCCCCCTGGGCCTCTTCCCATGCTTTCAGGGCCACCTCACCAGCCTCCAGCTGATAAGTTACCCACACCCCAGAACGAGGGCACATCATGTGCAATCTCTCCCAGCTTTTATGTTGTAAAACATTATCTGTGAGAGAAACCCAAAGAATGAACTTCTAATGGTGTAATTTCAGACTCCTGTGACTGTGCTCATCGATGGTATATATGGGGGCGTGGTGGGGGTGGGGACGGCCAGGAAGATGATTAGTGATCAGAAGTGCAGGCCCCTAGGGTCCTTCAGGCCCCCAAGGCCCGGCGCCTGGAATCCTCCAACTTGGGCTAAATGGGTTGAACACCCCCACCAGGCTCCCCCTGGCTCACTCCCACCCTGTCTGGTCTTCCTTAGTCTTGCACAGTGTGGGCCATGTGGTGAATGTGTACCTGTTCTCCATCAGCCCACTCAGTGTCCTCTCCTGCCTCTTCCCTGGACTCTTCCATGACGACGGGTGAGCGAGTGGGCGACACTGTGTGTGTGTGTGTGTGAAGGTGGGGGGAACTCTCTTGGCTCAGAGGAGAATCACCTTCCAGGCTATAGGACAGACAATGACCAGCCAGAGCCCTGGCCCCAACTGGGCAGAAAGGGAGACTGGTGGCTGGGTTGGGGTATTTCCTCTGGAGGATTCTTTTTGGAAGTCCCAGACATCTCCTTCAGCATCCTTCCTTGCTTTCCCTTCTCCACAGGTCTGAGTTTCCCCAGAAGTATTACTGGTGGTTCTTCCAGACTGTGCCAGGTGAGAGCCCTCTCTGCTCTAAATTTCTCGGTCTGGCTCTGAGCTCTGGGCTCTGGGTTCGATCTGCCATGAGACAAGCCCACTAGCACTCACTCAGCTCTCATGGTGGGCCAGGCTCTGCCCTCTGGTCCTGAGGACTCTCCTGGGCAGTAGGAGCTTCTGCTCTCCAGTCCTTCTCTTGGAAGCTTGGTTGGGCTCCTGCCCCAACTCTGAACATCCTCCTTCCGTGGAATGGGAGTGGACCCCCTCTCCCCCCACCCCAACATACACACCTACCATGACAGTGGCTTTGAGGAATGCTGTGCCCCAGCTGCATGGTGGAGGGACCGGGCTTGTCCAGCAAGGCAGAGCCCCCCACCCCTTGTAGTCTGTCTTGACAAGAGCTGTTTAGGGACAAATTCCTAACTCCCCATAATCACCCATTTTAGAACTATTAGCTGTGAATCTATTCAAAAACTTCTTGAATCTATTTATATTTTCAGTCTGTTTCCTCCTAGGGGTAACACATTTTCTACACTCCTCTCTGTGAAACACAGCATTTTTTTTTTTTAATCCTAAAACAATCTGCTTTGAACTTCAGAGTGCTTGCTAATCCCTGCACACTGGGATTTAGTGGATAAGGCTGTGTTTATGCCCTCCTCTCTGCTCAGGCCTTTACAGGCTTTGGTTAGATCCCTTCTTCACCTCTGCTTTCCATACTTCAGGGCTCTAATCTTCGTAATTTCTGCCTCGCTCCTCCTTGATTGCTTGAGGGGCCATTCTCTGGCTCTGCACTCCCGTCCTGAATCTAGTATTGCTCTCTTGTGTGCCCCGGGTCTGGGATCTCCTGTGAGAGGAGGGACCTCCCACCGACACTGGGCTGAACCCAGGGGGCTCAGGTGGTCACGCTTACTCACTAATGGCCCCAGCTCATGCTGTGGTAGCCACGTCGGGGCTACAGGATCATAGACGGAGTCTTGACTCCATGGGGGCGGGGCCTGCAATGTCCAAAGTCTGACCCAGAGGGCCCAGAGTAGATGCCCTGTGCGTTCATTCCGTCAGCACATGTTTATGTGAGGCCCCCAGAAGGCGCTAGGATTCTGTGCTGAACCAGCAACAGCCTGGTCCCTGTTCTTGTGGGCCTGACAGTCAGGGAAGTGACAGACAAAACAAATGATACCGGTACTTGAAAAATAACAAGCGGGACAAGGCCTTGGAGGGGCAAGCAGAGTCTGTTGAAATAAAGGCACCTGTGATCAGTGGTGTGCGAGAAGAGGAGAAGCCTGCGCTTCCACGGCCCCCACCCGGAGCAATGAAGTGGGACGGGGACCCTGACCCATGGCAGCCTCAGAACAGCCCCGCTCCTCTGCCCTTCACCCCGTGTTCATTTTGCAGGCCTCACGGGGGTCCTGCTGCTCCTGGTCCTGGCCATCATGTATGTCTTCGCCTCCCACCACTTCCGGCGCCACAGCTTCCGGGGCTTCTGGCTGACCCACCACCTCTACATCCTGCTCTATGTGCTGGTGAGGGCTACTGGGGTCTTGGCAGGATGATCCCAGGGAGGCCATGAGGGCTGAGACATCAGTTCTCCGTCCCCTTAGTCATTTCAGGAATCCCCTCCACTTCTCACTTCAAAGCTGGAGAGTATAGTGGGGGGCTGTCAAGCAGACGGACCCAGGGATGCAGTGCCTGGAAGATGGATGCCCGGGCATGGTCTGGCATGGGTCTGGCAGTGGCAACCCTACCAGGCTGGTCTCATTCCTTGCAGATACCCCCACCTTGTTTCTGCCCAGCCAGTCATTCCCCAGTTCCGGTGGCTGGTGTGAGCTCCTGGGTGGACTGCCCACCTTCACGGGAGCATCACCCTTTTTTTTTAGAGAAACGTATCTTAATTTGGTTCAGCCACTTTTGTTCTGATCCTGTTTTCTGGGGTGTCAGCACCCCACCCAGTGAAGTGCCACTTGTAGAGTTAACGAGCTTGCTCAAAATGTCTTCACTTGGACTGTTGATAAGATGGATTTTTAAGACTACCTTTCCCTTTCCTTCTCTTAACCCGAGCTCCTGCCTCCCTTCCTTCACATTCCCTCCCTTCTCTTGTCCTGTTCCCTTTACCTTCCCTGGGTTTGCCATCAGCTGCGTCAGCTAATTTGATCCAGAGCTGACTCCGACCTGTGCCTGTGTCATGGCTCTGCTTGGCCTGCCTTCCTCACGGACACAGGCAGTTCCCTAAAGAGCACCTGAGGGTCCTGCTGAGAAGCTAAACTAAGTCCCAAGGCCCCAGCATCCCCACCAACGATAGCTTGGCTGCCAGCATTCGGAAGCGCAGAGCCCAGATGGTTGCCATCTGTCACCTGGCTCCAGGCAGAACTACACAGAGTCCTGAGACAGAGGGAGACAGTCCATCATGGCCTGGGTCAGGCTGGCACCCGGGGCTGCCTTGCCTCCTCCCAGGTGCAGTTCTGTCCTCACTGATCAGAGAGTCTGTTTCCCTGTTGCCCGAGGCTCAGCACTTCACGGTTCTGAAGATGACTACCCAGCCTTCGCTTAGGTCATTTCCTAGAACTGATGTTTGTTTACAAAGAAATCTCTGCCTTCTTTGGAAGCTGTAGCTAATTTATCCCTCCCTACCCACCCTTGCTAGGGTGGAGCCCTAGCATCCTGGGTTACTGTTTCTGTTAGGAGCGGAGATGATGTTCCTGGTGAAAAAGCAGCTTCTTTGAACTCTATGGGAGACCCAGAAGAGTGGCCAGACTGGCTCTCTGAGACCAAGACCCCTTTCTGACTTATTCCTGGATTTTGGGGATCACTGGGGTTCAGAGCCACCCTTCCTGCCAGCAGGGAAGTCAGCAGCTCAGAAAGGTGCAGGACCTCTGCTGGGTAGTCCTAGCCCTGGCCGCTAGGGAGAGTCTCACCTGGGGGGATATCAGGGCTGAAATACCCACTTCCTTCCCATCTATCCCTGGTGTGTCCACTTGACTTGGGGCAGAAAGAGAAGCTACAAGTAAAGGACCCCAGTGTGGAGTCGACCCTGCAGAAGGATGTCCAGGCTCCTGGTCCAAGCAGAAGAGGGCAGGGCTAGCTCCCCCAGCCCTCAGCCAACCATGAATCTGCAGCAGCTTTGTGGTTTAAAAGTAGAGCCAACACCAAATGGGATGTATAAACAGAGCAGTATGAGGTCACCCCAACATTGTTCTCAGCCTGGTTCGATGCTCAGGAAGCCTTGGGGGTGCGTGTGGGCTCCATAATGAAAGAGGAACTTGGGGAAACCGGAGCCAGCTCAGGGAAGAGCCCAGAGCGGTTTAAGTTAGTCCTGTGGGCAAAGGAACATTAAGCTGGGGAAAAGGAGAGCTGAATGAGGAGCCAGAGTTCAGTTTAACAGTTATCTGTCAAAGGGTCTAGTATGCACTTGTTCGGTGGAGGAGGGGGGCACTCAAAGCTCTGCCCTTAGGAACTTAGGATTTGCTGCAGAGATAAGTGCCATGCACTTGAAATGATCAGAATGAGCAGACAATATAGGATTAACTGCTGATCTGAGTGTTCCAAACAGTGAGTTATAGTAGCTCACTGAAGGGAGTTTCATTTGGGCCAAACTGGTTAGGGAAGACTTTGGGGAGAAGATGGGACTTGAGCCAAGCCTTAAGGAGAGGTAAGCTAAGATTTGACAAGGCAGAGTGGAATCTGAAGAGCATTCCAGGTAGAAGAAAGGGCATGAGCACTGGTACAGAGGTGGAAATGATGATTCAGGGCACAGAGGGGACCAGCCGTGGATGGCCCCAGGGCATTAGGTGGTGGCAGGACCTGTGTGGGCTGCGGTGGCCACTGAGGGGCTGTGGCTCAGCAGAGGGGCTGTGCCACATGGGACAGCATAGACAGAGGAGAGCAGAGAGTGAGAAAATCAGGTTTGGGCAACATGCAGGATCAGGGCTGGGAGAAGGAACAGAGAGCCAGTGGAGGAGATGGAAAGTGAGTGGCCCAAGAGAAGCAGCAGACGTGGCAAGGAGTGGGCGGTTGCTGGTGCCACAGAGGGCCAGCCGTGGGAGCAAATGAAAGGGGACCTTGGGGTCTGGCCATTCATGGGGCAGGTGAGCCCCAGTGAGCAGGTCCTGAGAAGAGGTGGAAACAGGAGCCAGACTGACCAGACTTAGGAGCAAGCAAATGGGAAGCATGGGGGCAAGTCGTGTCTGACCATGTTAGACCAGCTTGTTGGGGAAATGACCAGAGCTAGACAATACCTGTCAGGTATTTCAAGGAAAAGGGAGGACTAGTTAGGTGTTCTTAGTCTCCAAAGGGAGAAGACAAATTGGGGAAACTTCTTTTATTAACTCAACAGTTATTAAGTACCTGGTATGTGCCAGGCAGTAACTGCTAAGAGCTGAGAGTATGGTAGCAAAAAAAATGGACACCCACCGCCCACCAGGGAAAACAACAGAAACATGTAAATGGATGATGAAACATTAGTGTGGATGATGACAAGTGCTCTGACGGGACTTAACTGGGAGATGTAACAGAGGACCGAGGGAAGGCCTGAGGAGGTGGCGTTTCTGCTGAGCCCTGACAAATGACATAGAGGGGTACACCTGGGTGGCTGAGGCAGTTAAGTGGCTGCCTTCGGCTCAGGTCATGATCTCAGGGTCCTGGGATCGAGCCCCTCATCACGCTCCCTGCTCAGCGGGGAGCCTGCTTCTCCCTCTCCCTCTGCTTCTCCCCCCCAACCCCCACTCATGCTCTTGCTCTCTCTCTCAAATAAATAAATTTTTTAAAAAATGAGACGGAGGTAGCCAGGGAAAAGAACCAGGGAGAGGGCATTCCTGGGAGAAGGAACAGCGGGTGCCAAGGTCCTGAAGCAGAGAGGACTTGCCATGTTAGAGGCCAGAGCATCTCAAGGCCTTGTGGTGTAATGGGAAGTCCACTAAGGTTGGTTAAGCTGGGATGGCATGATAAAACGAACTTGAAAAAGTCACACTGGCTGCCTTGAAGAGAATGGGTCACAGTGGGCAGCCCCGTAGAAGACCAGCTAGAAAGCTACTGCAGGAGACCAGGTGAGAGTTAAAGTGGCTGGTTTAGATGGTGCCGGGAAGGCACAAACAGTCTCACTAGTCATGGACGCTCCACAGGATGCGGTTGGGGTTGGGAGTGGTTAGATTTGGGGACCATGGTACACGGATAGGTGGGGATGGAGGGTGCCTGTGGGGGTGGGGTGGGGTGGGGTGGGTGGAGGATGCAAGGGGCTAAGGCCTGAGCCGGCCACAGACATTATTGTAGGTATGGCTTGGTCAGAGCCAAACTCTTCACTCTATCCAGCTCATCATCCACGGCAGCTTCGGCCTGATCCAGCTGCCCCGTTTCCACATCTACTTCCTGGTCCCGGCACTAATCTATGGGGGAGACAAGCTGGTGAGCCTGAGCCGGAAGAAGGTGGAGATCAGCGTGGTGAAGGCAGAGCTGCTGCCTTCAGGTACCAGCCTCTAGGCTGTTGGGGACCAGCTGGGTAGTTCTGAGAAAGCCCACAGGGCAGTGCCAGAGCCTGGACCTTGCAATCTCCTGGCCTGGCCCAGTGGAGTTGGCAGGGGCCTTGAGGTGGCAGCGATAAGGGAGCTGGCAAGAGCAGCTCTTGGCCAGGGGACCTGAGCCTCTCTCACAACAGAGAGGAGGAGCCTGGGCCAGGCTGCTCCTTTCCCTGCTGACCACCAGCACTGCATTGCCCCTCCTCAGGGTGGACATGGCCCAAGGGGAGTAATGCCTTCTGATGGGTAGAGGCCCTGGCATATTGCAGAAGGAGAGCTGAGGCTGCAGGTGGGGGAACTTTCTGGAGGCCACAGTGCTGCTGGGGCCTGGATAGCAGCCTCCTGCCCACTTCCTTTCCTCAGGAGTCACCCACCTGCAGTTCCAGCGGCCCCAAGGCTTTGAGTACAAGTCGGGACAGTGGGTGCGGATCGCCTGCTTGGCTCTGGGGACCACTGAGTACCACCCGTTCACACTGACTTCTGCACCCCATGAGGACACTCTCAGCCTGCACATCCGGGCGGCAGGGCCCTGGACCACTCGGCTCAGGGAGATCTACTCACCTCCAACGGGAGATGGCTGTGCCAGATACCCGAAGGTGACCAGACCCAGGCCAGATGAGCTACCCGCCCCCACATCCCCTTAGTAGGCCTTGGCCCTGCATCCCCAGGCTCCCCACTGTGTTCTTCCCCTCCCCAATCCAGAGACTGGTCTTTCCAAGTAATGCCATGGTACCCCCTTTCTCCTCACTCCATAAACATACCTGCCTTTCCCTGCCTCCCATTTCTAGCTTCAGAACTATTGTGGTGGTGGAGCTTAACTCAAACCCACTCCTCCTCTTGCAGCTATACCTTGATGGACCATTTGGAGAGGGCCACCAGGAATGGCATAAGTTTGAGGTGTCAGTGCTGGTGGGAGGGGGCATTGGGGTCACCCCCTTTGCCTCCATCCTCAAAGACCTGGTCTTCAAGTCATCAGTCAGCTGCCAAGTGTTCTGTAAGAAGGTGAGTGCCCTCTCCTCCTGCCGACCCATGGCCCCTGTTCCCTATCACTGTGTCCACCTCTGCCTGTCTCTCCTGCCTCTGTTCTTGGCCTGATCCGGGCAAGGCCCAGTTGGCCTGACCCCAGAGGGGTCAGGATATCCTCAGACCCTAAAGAACAGAGTTGGAGAGGGGTAAAGAAACCCACTCTGTCTTACAGAGGAGGCCAGCCCCTGAAGGGAGCATTGTCAGCTTGGGAGAAGGAAAGGAACACTTGGGGTGGGGCAGAACTGAAACTGGCTCTGCTTTCAAGAGGAAAAAGAGGGGAGGTGGCCAGGCAGGGCTGGTGGGCTGGGCTGGTTCCAGGAACACAGCCCAGGCCCTCAGGCCCCCTCCATCCCGGGTCCCTTCACCCCAGCGTGGACCTGGTAGCAGGCCCCTGCTTGTCTCTGTGGGCCCGGCAGGTGAGTCAGGGGCACAGGAACGCGGCAGGCAGAGGCCCAGCCATGTGCTGTCAGCTTTCGGAGGGTGCCAGGCAGCTCCCCTGCTCCTCCGTCCGTGCCAACTCTGCCTCTGCTTCTTAACCCACATGGCCCCTGCTTCATCCTCTTCGGAAGTTGGAGGTGGCTCCCTCCATGGCAACTTCCGTCCTCTGGAGCCCATTCCCATCTGCTCCAGGCAGCCAGCTGGGTCTTCCCTAAGACTGTTCTGCGACATGCCCTTTAGTGGAACCCTATCCCTCTGGGCTAGGGTTGCTTCGGAGCCTAGCAGCCTGAGGAGAGGGCCCATTGGAGGGAGCAACAGGGCAGGCTCCGTATGAAAAAGCTGCTTCCCACCCCATCAGACCTTCAGCTCACTTGACAAGTGTCCTTTTTCATCACCCCAGGTTATCCCTCCCTTCTACCTCTCCATGCCCTGGGGTAACCCCCATCTCCCGCCCCAGAGCCTGGCCCTATGGTCCCCGCAGCACTCCATCTCCGCAGCGTGTCTGGGGAGAGGCACAAGCTGACCAAGTTCTATTGCTGTGGGGATCCCTGGGATATAGGGAGCCTGAGCTGAGCCAGGTCCTGAGCTCCTGCCATGTGTCCCCAGATCTACTTCATCTGGGTGACGCGAACCCAGCGGCAGTTTGAGTGGCTGGCTGACATCATCCGGGAGGTGGAGGAGAATGACTGCCAGGACCTGGTGTCCGTGCACATCTACATCACCCAGCTGGCCGAGAAGTTCGACCTCAGGACCACCATGCTGGTAGGTCAGGGCCGGCCGGCCGGGGCAGCTAGGTGGGTATATGGGTTGGTGGAGTGAGGCAGATGACCAGGGCAGGTGGGTGGACAGCCAGGTTCAGACGGCAGGAGGTACAGAGATGGCGGTCCTGATCCTCAGCCTCCAGCTCCCCCGCCAGCCACCCCATTCTCTGTCTCCTGAGCTGCAGGCTAGCTTGGGCTAGGCACTGACCCTGACTGTCCTTGGCCTGACCTGCCCCTGTGCCCCCAGTACATCTGTGAGCGGCACTTCCAGAAGGTGCTGAACCGGAGTCTGTTCACGGGCCTGCGCTCCATCACCCACTTTGGCCGCCCCCCCTTCGAGCCCTTCTTCAAGTCCCTGCAGGAGGTCCACCCGCAGGTCAGTCCACCCCATATCAAGGTTCTCCTGGCATTTATCACCTGAGGTCTGAGCAAACCTCCCAGCCCAGCTCCATGAGGGAAGGAATTGACTGCTGAGGAGAACTCATCACCCAGGAGATAAGTGGGGATAATGGAATGGAAAAACAGTAGGGGTCACTCTGAGGGGCGAAAGGGGGAAGCAGCCACAGGGACTTGCCACTTCTAAAGCCATGATGCCTGTCCAGAAGGAACAGCTCAGTGATTGAGCTCATCCTTACCATAAACTCAAGAGCTACTCTTACCATGAATACTGAGCCAGCGCTCACCCTAGACACTGATCTTTACCATGAACACTGGGCTAGCCACTACTCTCAGAAATAATGGCCTAGCCCTCAAAGAGACAGTAAGCTAGCCTTTAACTGGAACATTGATTAACCCAGCCCCTATCAGAAACACTGATCATGTACCTGAAGCTGACAGATGCCTTGGAGGGGGTGGAGGTTGGACCCACACAGAGCAAGTCTACCAAAACTGAGCTAGATGTAAACGCACCGAGCCATCCCTCACCACACATGATGTGAAGCATACCTTTATCAGAAACATAGAAGGAGCCCTCACCAAGGACTCTTGCCTGTCTTTAACACGAACACCGAGCTAGCCTTCACGTTTCCCTCCCCCAACAGGTCCGGAAGATTGGGGTGTTTAGCTGTGGCCCCCCTGGCATGACCAAGAATGTGGAAAAGGCCTGTCAGCTCATCAATAAGCAGGATCGGACTCACTTCTCCCACCATTATGAGAACTTCTAGGCCTCCTGCCCAGGGGCTCTTCCCACTGCCCAGCTGAGCAGAGGTTTGGGCCCCCACCACACTCTGTACTTCCTATTTCTGACTCCTTCTGCCTCCTCCTCATTCCTACCTCCCAACCTTGGTCCAGGTGGTCATAGTCAGTCACCCCATATGGGTTCAGAGACCCCCAAGTCCAGAATGCCTCAGCCTGGAGAAGTGGGAGGCATTGTCTGGGCAACAGAGGTTGGGAGGTAGGAGAGCTATTATTACTTTGGGGCAAAGTGACACCTCTTCTTCCAAACTAAGAAAAAGCCTCAAAAGACTGGAGCTGACTGTATGTGTATTAGGGGGCTGTGAGCCTAAGGATAAAGTAGGAGCACAGATGCTGGCATCTTGGAACTTCCCCCCCACAACCTCCCCCTCCTCTAGGCTCCCCACTGTCAAAAGGGCTGGCAAATGCCTTGGGGTGGGGTAGAGGCTGGGCCCGCAGAGAGAAGTCTGCAGGAACCCCCTCAGCATCCTAGTCTAACAGCACAACTGATCTTTTCTCCCCAGTTTTTAAACATGTACTGTAGTCAGAATCTGGCCCAATCTGTGGTGCTCCTCAGGCCTTGTCTCTTCTTCCTACTGCAGCAGTCTCCTTTACAAATAAACCACTTTTCTGCACTCTGGGTTTCTTTATTCTGCCCTGGGATGGGGATAGGCACTGGCAGAGAAAGCTACTCAACCAGCCAGCTCACCGAGGCTGGTGCAGACAGTCCTCTGAACTTCCCAGCATCTACTGAATAAAGGAACCAGCTCAGGCCCGAGTGCTTTAGCTGGAGACCCCTTTCCCAGCTCAGGGGCACGCTTCCTGACCGAGGGCCTCTCAGGGTGGCTAGTGTGGGGCTTCTGAAGCCTGATCAGGAAGGGCGGGGGGAGAGGTGGGCATTCATGGAGAAGGTGGGCCAGGCACAAAGTGCAGGTGTGTGTGACAGGACAGAGCAGGAGCCCACAGGGAGCCAGAGTTTGCCTGGCCGGCTCCAGGACCTCCGGGTAACAGGAGTTGACCACCTGTGCCTACATGGGTCTTCCAGGTAAAGAGATGAAAGCAAGGAGACGGATGAGCACATCACTAAACACTCAGAGCCTGCTTCCTCATCTGCAAAGAGACTCAATACCTTCCAAGATATAGGGCAACCCTCTGAGGGAATTTCTAAAGCAGGGCCCAATTTCAAGTGAGCCTTTCGATTGTCCCTACAGAATTCTTACATTTGTCAGGTCACATGTCCTCGATTTCGATAAAATCCAAAATTCCATGACTGACACTACATGTGGGTGTTGCAGGTTTAGGTTCTGTAAGGAGGCCCTCAGACTGCGCTCCCAGGCCAGCGGATGTTTGTTCGGCCCCTCGGGGAGCCCCGTGGGAGCAGGAGGGCGGGCCTGGAGTGGGTCGACAGCAGCTCCGACAGGCGGCCCGGTGGGTATTCCCGGGGGCTGGCCCCACAGGCCTCGGCCGGGTCCAGCTGCGGGCGCGGGCTGGGGCGTCTCCAGGGCCGGGGTCGGGTGTGGCCCGGCGCCCGCGACCCGCGGTTAGAGGCACGGCCAGCAGGGGGCACGCGCGGACCGCCCCGCCACGCTCGACCGCGAGCCCGAAGGCCCAGCCCCAAGGGAGCTCCGAGCCCAAACCTGCGGGCTGCAAGTCTCCAGGGGCCGGACTCACGGTCGGAGAATGGGGGAGGCGCGGCAGGCCCCGCTTCCTCTGGAAAGAAGACGCAGTCGCCGCGCCAGCTTTCCCGCCTCCGCGGGTGCGCGGCTTCCGCGTGGCAGGGCCGCCCGCTCCCCCTCGCCTGGCGCGCTGCCTCTTTGTCTCTCCGCGGCTCCCCTCCTCCCAGACGAACGGCTGTTGGCAGGAAATTGGACGCGCTCTTGGGGAGCCGCGCTCCTCGGCGCGGCGGGGAGGGGGCGCCGCGCGGCCGGTCGGCTCCGGGTGCCCCCAGCCGGGGCGGGGGCGGCAGGGGATGTTTTGACATCTCGTCAAGGGAAGGAACTTGATGCTTCGAAAGTGCTTTTCACAGCCTGCTTGTGTCGCTTCCAGAACTGATTTATAAACAGAATCTGCGCTCGCTTCGCCTCTCCCTCCCCCGACAGCCCGGGGGGCGGCGCTGGAGGCGCGGACGCGGCTGTGCCTGGCAGGACTGGGTTTATTTATTGCATCTGGCCGGGAGCCGGGGCGGCCCGGGGACTGCGCAAGTTCCCTCTGGCCCGAGCCCTTCCCCTCGTCTCCCCACCCCCACGGCCAGCTCCATCCTAGGGGGGTCTGCCTTCCCTAAGCCCCGCACCGGACTCTGGACGGAGCCCGCCGGCGGTTTAGGGGTGGAGGCGGCCAGGGCGCCCCGCAGGCCTGCGTCCTGCCCCAGCCCGCATTGACCCAGGGGGAAGGAGTCGGTGGGGAAGGGGGTCGCCACCTGTGCCCTAGGGGCGGAAAAGGCGGGGAGCTGCGGATCTGAAACTCCTGGAGACGAGCGGCTCTGAAGCCCCCTTCCTCCAGGGGCTATCCTTTCTCCCCAGGGATTCCTCTGTCCTCGGCTCCAGACCACCTTTTACTCCGAGGCCCCAGTAGGCCTTTCCGTTTAGAATAAATTAAGGAATCTCCAGCTTCCACTCGATCTCAGGGAGAGAGGAAGAAAGGTTTGACAGAACATGTCCCTGGGAAGGGCCACAGCCCTCAGCCAGGGGATGGGCACAGGGCTGGGTCCAGATTTGTCACAGTGCCCGGGCCACCCATCTACAGAGTCCGAATGGCCACGGGGTAGAGCAGGGACATGTGTTCGGCCCCCTTAATGGGCAGCTTGCGGCTGGCGTAGTGGTGCACGATTTCAGGGACGCTGCTGAAGGGTGGGCTGTTCTGGCCCAGCACGTACTTGTGTTCCTTGGTCCGGGACAGCTTCATGTGCATGAAGCCCTGACTGCTCCTGGGAAGAGGAGAGGAGACCCTGGTGAGTAGGGGCCCTCTCCGGTCCCCCTCCCCTCCCCCACCCCTGCAGCAAAAGTGGTTGTTCCGAGCCAGCTGTGTGTGGAGGTGGGGAGGGAAGGTGGAGGTCAGTCCAGAAAACAGGCAGGAGGCAGAGGGGATTTTGTGAGTGGGTAACAGTAGGCATTGGCTTTGTGGTGAGGGCACTGGGCTTGCCAAGAATGTGTGTGTGTAGTGAGTGTACAGGGCGTGTGCAGGTGGAAACTGGAGCGACCACTCTCCCTGCCCCAAACTCTGGGACCCAGGCACCAGTGCCCTCCAGCCTGTATGGCCAAGGCTGGTCTACCCTCCCCATCTCTGAGCTGTGGGGGATGACACCTGTGGGGAGCTCCTAGTGACTGATGTGGAGACACAAACATCCTGGACAGGACAGTGTGTGGACAGATGTGACAACCAAGTGAATCTTGGTTGAGGCTCTCTCTTGCAGAAACCAGGGGAGGGGGCGAGCTAGCTGCTCTGGAAGTCCCTCCCAAATCGGGAAGGCTCCACTGCCTTGTCCCGGGGATACCCCTTCACCCTCCTGCTAACTGGGCCTTGGGCCAAGCCCCCAGCTCCTCTCTCCCTTCAGCCCGGATGACATCATCCGTGAGGCTGTAACTCCATTCCCTCCCTCAGAGAGGGGAGGCTCCCCTGCCTCTCCCAGCTCCCTGACACAATCCAGGAAATGGACATTAGTGCCCGGCCCTGCCCTCAGACAAGGACCCTGCTGCTCAGAGCTCTGGCTAGCTCCCAGCCGCCCCGGCACCCTGTCTTAGAGAGACAGCATGGGGGTGGGGCCCGAGCAAGAACAACCCCTGCCCAAGCTACCACAGGCCCGGTCCACAGGCAAGGAGGAAGCAGTGCATGCGGGAGCCCTGAAGCCTGAATACTTGTCTCTCAGGGCCAGAGCCTACCTGGGGACAAGTGCAGGGCTCAGAAACTAGTATAGGAGGTAGGACTGGTGAGGGGGGCACTCAAACGAGGTGAGGCTGGCAAACCTTATTTCCCTCCCCTGCCTGGGTACAAAGAAGGCTCTGACTGGCTCCATTTCACTGGGCCCACAAGTGGAGATGGAGAGTGGATGACTGAAGAGAGGAAAGGGATGACAGGAAGAAACAGTCCTTTATCACCCACCCTCCCAATTCCTTCTCCTTGCCCCAGGATCCAGTACCCTAAAGCCTGCTGGGGGCCCCAGGCTGGGTGTATGTGTGTATGGCGGGGGGGGGGGGGCGCAGGCATCCTTCTTCTGGAGGCCTGAGATAACAGCTGAGGCTGACAGTGACCACACAGGCCCTGGTGAAGGGAGCTAAGGGCCTGAGGAAAATGTACAGTCCCTGGGGGCGGTAGAGAAGGGAGGCAGTGAGCAGTCTCCCTCCCCTGTCTGCCCTATGCCATGGCCCAGGCCCAAAGCTGTGGGCAGCAGCTTGGCCCTTGCTTTCCCTCACCCTCTCACAGTTTGGGGACAACCCCTACCCACAGTCCACTTGGGATAATCACCTCTCCCCAAAACTGCATTATATCTTCTCCTTGAGGGACAGATTTGGCTAAAAAGGGCAATAAAGTGGCAACAAGCCTCCATCTGGATAACTGACCTCCTGGGATAAAGTCCCAAGCCGAGTCCTTGCCCAACCCTCAGGAGCCTGGGTGGGACTAGCTGGGCCGCAGGGCCAGAGCTGACATGGCTTTGGGAGGAAGCTGTTTAATTACCAGTGAAAGCCCTTCCATTACAGAGAGCAGAGAAACCATAATTGTATTTCAGAGAAGCCATTTATATGCAAACGAGGCTCTGGCAGACAGATGCTGGTGGGGCCAGATCAGCCAGGGCTGAAGCAGCATCCAGGCCTGCCTCCCCTCTTACTCCCCAGGCTAAGGCGGAGCCCTGCCCTGCTCTGTTTAGGGAGCCAGACCCTTGCTATCTAACCCAGCCTTGGACTGTTCCAGACTTGAGGACGGGTGGAGCTATGCAATGGAATAGTGCTGTTCTTGTAGTCAGACTGAACTGAGCTGGGTCCAAATCCTGCTTTTGGCACTTTACTACCTGGTGGCCTTGAGCAAGTCACATACCTCTTTGTATTTCTTCCTGGCTATAAAAAAAGAGATTCATCTTGCAGGTTGGTAGTTGGTTTGGAGAGGGTATATACGCTGCTTGGCACATAGCAGATGCTCTGTGACTCTTAACTATTAAAGCAATACACATCCTAGTGTTATAGCAGATTTTTGACAGATGAACTTTTCCTAAATGCTCCTTTGATTTTATGATAATTTGCAGAGTATGAGAGCTGCAAGAAACCCAAGAGGTACCCATCAATGCATTTTGCAATGGGAGAAACCAAGGCCCAGAGAGGTTACATGATTTGCCTAGGGTCACACAGCTAGTTTTATTAAGCCCAAGAATAAAATTCAAGTTATTTGACTATAGACTGGATCTTCCCATTATCTTTTAGTTGAAGTTGAATAATTATCCTCAAATGTATCTGTTCAATAGTCCCAAATTTCTGTATATTGCATTCGTTTGAAGTGGGGATATACCTGTATTCTAATATCCCTGGGGAATGTGGTAGGAGGGGGTACAGATGCCCCAGTAGTGATGGGGGGATGTGAATGGACACACCATCTGACGGGCTGCCACGTGGGGTGCAGGCGCTACCAGGCAGAACTCCTGGGTACCGAGGGGAGGGCTGGCCATTCTACCAGGATGGCCTCAGAGGCCAGTGCTCGTTCTGTGTATCCTATCTTCCTATCCTTCCAATAAAGATGATGGTGATCATTTATTTAGCACTTAGCACCATGTTAAGTGCCTCCCATATATTATTTCATTTGATCCTTCCCTATAAGGTAGACATTATTATTTCCCCATTTTATAAGTAAGGAAACTGAGGCCCAGAGAGGTTAAGGGGGCCCCAGGCCACACAGCTAGTACGTGACGGAAACTTTCTGAGCTGGACACTGTAGCTTGACTGTTTCCTCTAAAGGACTCTGAGCTCCTTGCAATCTGGGGCTGAGCCTCAGACCCTCCAAATCCCCAGGGCCTGGCCCAGAGTCAGCAAATGTTCATGGGGATGGAGTTCTCCCCAGCTTGGCTGGGCACGGGGAGAATGTTGGAGTCTCCTCCTGTCCTGCCGGTTGTCTTCCCATGGATTCTCCTTGGTGCCACGGTGACAAGTTAATCCTGCCTAACGCTGGTAGTTGGCCCACCCCTACTCACTTGAGGGACAGAGAGAAATCATTCTTGCTGGTCTCACTGTTGCGCACCAGGTAGCTGGCCTCTTTGCACAGTCGGAGCAGGTTCTCGGCATCTGTTCGACTGATGGCCCCGTGGTACCAGCTGAGGACAAGAGAGAGGAAGGGGGGCATCTCTGCTGGGTCCCTCGCCGTCCTGGCCCACCCATTCTGGGTGTCCCCTGCAGGCAAGCCAGTGGCAGGAGGGGAAAGGAGGAGGGGAGAGAGTCCCCAGCTGGACACAGACACTCACACCTGGTTTTCCAGAGGCAGTGCTGGGTCTGTCCACTCCCCAAGGGGGCTGCTGGGCTCCATGCTTAGGGACTTGGCTGACTTGGGGTTCCCTGCAGAGAGTCGGGGAGGTAGCCGCCCCTTCTCCTCCCGGCCGGGTGACAGGCAGCTCTTCTCAGATCCTTCAAACTGGGCTGTGGGGAATATACCAGTCATAGACTCTGAGGACCTTAGAGATAGAGCCCTGTAGAATAACTGGTGCTCCACCCCCATTTTCTGCCAGAAGGGGTCAAAGGAATGTTCTGGAAGGGTGGGACATGCTCCTGGGCTTGACTGTCTCTGGGGACAGAATCCTGGGTCCACTCCCTCGTTGGGGGTGGGGCTCAGCCCTCCTATGCCATACTGTGCCTACCAGTCCCCATGCTGTGGGAGGAGAGGGGAGAGGAGCAACACGAGAAACCACTTAAACTTCTCCCTCTGGAGCAGCGGCCTGCCTTCCCCTATTCCATTCCCCCTCGGGGTGCCTTCAGCGCTGATAATATTGTTTCTTTCTCCTCCTCAGAGTTCATTACTGTTCTCCATATCACCCTGCCAAGCCATTCTGTAGAAATGACTTATCGATTTGAGAACAATTATCCAATTCCCCTTGGTGCCATCCTGACAGGCTAAATCCTGCCCAAAGCCGCCAGCCGGCCCGCCCCTCCCCTGCCCCCAGGCTCCCTGCCCCCCCCCCCCCCCCCCCCCCCCCGGAGCCCGGCTGAGGCGGCTCTGCCCTCCCAGACCAGGGCAGGCCTGACCACTGAGCCAGCACAGGGGAGGGAGGAAGCCAGTGGGCCACATGAGCGGAGGCACACACGGGCAGGCGATGGAGACCCTCCTTCATCCCGTATTTACAAAATAGCCCTCACACTCAGGCCCAAATGTACAAACATTCTGTACAAAACTGAACAGAGATGAAGCATTCAGTGCTTCCTTTCTCCTCATCTGGGTTTTTTCTCTCCTTGTAGCACTTTCAGGACCTTATTGTCTCTCAGTCACCAGATGCAAGGATCAGACCCTTCCCTTACTCGAAGGAGTCAGACACTTCCTACGCTAGCATCACCCCCACCTCGAGAGTTATCTGCATTGCCAAAGGATTGGGGCAGGCAAAGTCCTATGCAAAGAAGTGAATTTAAAATAGTGGATTTTTGTGGCATAGTAGGAAAGATATTTGGAAAGGGACTCCTTTAGAAGACACCTTCCCCACACCTCTGGGAGGAAGGAGGAATGTGTGCTTTGTCCCTTCTCTCTTCCCTCCAGGACAAGGGGGATTCTTCCTGGGTTCTCCAAACCCTGCCCCACTTCAGCTCCTCCAACCCAAGCTGGCAGGGCCTGAGGCATGAGAGGACATGTCACCCTGGCCAGAAGCTCCCACAAGACCCACCGCTGCCGTCCTCCAGGCTGGGCTCGGGGAGGGGTGAGGCTGGACCGGAGATGTCCCTGTCCCCGTCAGGCAGGGAGGGGCTGCTGTCCAGCTGTCCCACCGGCGGAGGCCAAGGTAGGTCTTTGATGACCTTAATGTCAACTGGAACCAGTAGCAGCAGGGAGAAGAGGCACAGACAGGGACAGAGACAGAGACAGAGAGACAGAGAGAGGCAGAGGTTGAGACACCAAAACCCAGAGCCAGGACACAGGACAGCCTAGAAAGGAGGAGGGTCAGAGCAGAGGCAGGGGTGGCTTCTGAGGGGGGAGCAGGACTCTCAGAGGGTTGGATGGAGCCACAGTGACCACACCAGGCTGGCTTAGTCCAAGGGTGGGAGGCACAGGTAGCAAACAGCAGGATGCAGAGTCTTGCACTGCCAGCCACGTGGGCCCCCTTCATTTGGACCCTCATAAGCCTCCAGGGCCCAAAGGGACCAGGAGAGGAGGAAGGGAGAGACAACGAGCTGCCCTTGCCTCCCAGCACCACACCCAGGCCCCCACAGCCTCCTGGCACCCTCAGACTTGCCACCTTCTCCCCACGGCCTGGGAAGTCATGGGCAGTGAGACCGACAGCCCGGCTCCAGGCTGTCAGGAATACTCCGATGTGGGGGCAGATGTTTTATTGAAATTTACCCCCCACACCCTCAGTCCTGAGCCTTGACAATTAAGACAGGGATGCCGCTGGCGGCTGCAGGACTGCTAACGAGGTTTCCTAATGACGAGCATAGATTTTCCCATTAAGCAATCCAAACAGTATTGATTCTCCAAGGAGACTTCTGGAGATAAACGGTCCATCCTCAATGGTGCAAGCTTTACAGGAAACAAATTAGAAACCTGTGGTTTCCCAGTCTGGCTGCCAGGGTGGGGAGAACAGGGCAGAGAGCTGAGTCTAGCTCCAGGAGGGATGAGGGGGCCATGGGAGTCCGGGTGAAGTCGAATGGCATTTCCACCCTTTGGGTTCTCAGTGAATCAAGAATCCAGGGGCTAAAGCACTCTCCAGGCTCTCCAGACTGTAGCAGCACCCACTCAGACCACCAACACACACCTCCCCAGGTTGGACTCCAGGCCTGGGACAGGTGCTGGGGTGCCTGGGACAGGAGAAACCTAACCCTCATTCAACAAAGGGGATTTCTCACAACCTCCCTCTCCCCCACCAGTTCCTGCTCCTCAGAAATCCCCCTGGGGCACAGGTGCCCCTGGTCTGGCACAGCCTGCTACCAGGAGACACAGCTCTCTGATTCAGGGCTGGGATCTCTAAAGGTTACACACACAGCCATTTTCATTGTCTGGGGGGTTAAATGCCTTCTTGTGTTAAGTGTAAGTATTTAACATGTCACAAGTTTTTATCATCTTGTTTGGGAATTTCTTTATTTTAAAATACGCCCTGTCTCCCAAAAGATGGAAGTGGCCTAAGCCTCTTGGCCTCTGAGAGGTGGTGCTGCAGGGGAGACCCTTCATCCTCCCGTGCCCGTTCCCTGACCCTGCACCCACACTGCCCAATTCACCAATCTCTGGGATGCACTCAACTATGCTTCCCTTGAGCCCAGCTTCGGGGACTCCCCCAGCCCCTGGGGTCCACTCCTTCCACTCCCCTGGGCCTGGAGAGCTGTTTAGAGGCCCCAGCAGACCCAACCTCCTTCACCCAGGGCTTACCTGCAAAGGCTTTGGAAATCCGCTCCTTCTTCCACTCCCAGGGCTGGTCATACTCCTCGGGGGGCCTCTCGTCATCCTCTGGCAGCCGGGACTCCCGGGGCCAGGGGGCCCCCTCACCCTCTGGGGTGGCCCCCTCCTCCTCTGGCTCATAGGGCGTGTCATACAGAGGCAGGGGCTGAGCTGCTGTCTCCTTGGAACTCCGGATCTCTGCCAGGGCAAGGCAGGAGGGGGGGTGTGAGAGCAGCCCTGGCTGCCCGGCTCAGCTCCTCTGGCAGCACCCTCAGCAACACACCAAGCCTCCTTCAGAGGAGATGCCACTGGCTTTGGGGGCCCAATGGCCACACATCCGGGGTCCCTTGCCCTCAAAACACCTCTGGGGTTCCAAAAAGCAATGGGATCCAATGGAGGCAGGGGCAGAGAAGCACCAGCGTGAAAGACAGAAAAAAGATCTTTAGATGGCCAGCAAGGGCTTGGGAAATGAGGCTTACGCATTTTGGAAACTGAGGCAGGGTCCTCTCCTAATCCACCTCCTCTTGGCTACTCAGCTCCAATTTTTTTCCTTGCATCCCAAATAATACCACTTGACAATCAGAAAATCCTTCTTTGTTGCTCAGATACTGCTGATCACTCCCTCCTTGAAACTGTCCCCTCTGACAAGTCATGTTCATGGTCGTCCTCTCTGAGCACCCCTATTTGGACTCTTTCCCTGGCCCCTCTCTCGGTCTCTGTTCCCCAGAACCAGGTCTGATTTGCCGTCACTCCTTGCGCAGTCTCATGGCACCCTATACACTTCCAGTTGCCATCAACATCTTTCACTTTAACGTTTCAAACTTGCCACTTTCCCCAGAAGTTCTTCTAGTCTGTTCTGTGATTCTTTTGGGGATCGTTGACCCCAGTGAAAATCTAGTAAAAGCTATGGAGCCACTCCCCAGAAAAATGTGCAAATTTCCACATACAACTCCAGGGCATTCATGGGCCTCCGAGGGGGACACACCCCTCTGATCTAAATTGGGTAGTCACCCTCCCACCTTCTCCCTTTCTGTGCACTACACTGCTCTCCTTGGTCCTGGCCCTCCATCCTCCAAATTCCATCTGTTCACCACCAGTACCTGATGACTCTTAGCCTCGTCTCTCCACATCTAGATTCCTCCACACTACCGGCTCACGTTTCCATGCGCCCCATGGAAGAACACTCCTGACCACTCTCCGCCCCCTTGCCCCTCTCCCAAGGAGGGAGAGCAGCTTATCTGATCACCAGTGGATGCTCGCTCTCTTTCTCAGCTCTGCCTTCTGGCTCTTTCTCCTCCTGCCCCCCGTGAAGGGGCTTATAGCTGTGCCTCATGGCCCAAGCCTGAGTGGGCAAGTTTAATTCTGTGAAGTATTAAGCAGCCCGTTGTGGAGACATAGCTAAGTAGTGTTCTCAATCTACTTTGTCAGTAATAAAGCTGACATAATCTTATCTTCATCTTTCCCTGGATCCTCTCTTGACCTCTGCTCTGCGCCCCAGGACCAGGTCTTACTCATTGCTCTCTGCCCCCACTCCTTGACAGGCTTGCTCTTCTCTAGCCATGTGGTTCCAATTGCCATAAAGATGTTTCACTCCGACATCACATCATCTCAAGCTCACCACCTTCCCTAAAGCTAGTGATTCTCTTTTTGGGTTCCACGACCCCCGGCCCACACCACTATCCTGCCCTCCTGACTATCCTAACTCTATCTGCCTGACCTTTGGTTGTGTGGCCTTCTCTACCGCCTCACATCTCAGGTACCACAAGTCATTGCTCCTTCTCCAAAATGACTCTCTTGAAAGCAGTGGCCAAGGACCAAGGTGGTCCATGGTGGACCCATGGTCTCCAAGGACCCAGTGAAGGGATCGTGGAATCAGTCCTTAGTCTTGTGGGTCCCAGAGCCTGTTGTGTAAATACCCAGGCTTCAGAGAGCAATCCCCTACCCCTGACTCCATCACGCACCAGCCATCATCTTTTGGGCCTCATAGGGCTCCATGTAGCCGTCATTTTCAGGGACCTTCTCTGGGGCTCCCGAAGCTCCTGCTGGGCCTTCACCAGTCTCCTGAACATCAAACGGGTCCGCGTAGTCTTCAAGGATTGCCAACTGCGGGAAGACAGTGAGGAGAGCAGGCTTCAGACATCTGAGAGACACCTCTGCTTCTCCCCAGATGCTTTGTCCATGGGAGTGAGTCCTGAACAGAATGTCTTAGACCCAGAGCCCAAGGTATCCAAGGGCAGGCTCTGAGCTTGGACAGGGACAGGCTCTGGCTCTTCCTCTGCAGGGTTCACCTACTAGGCTGCCAGCAGAGTGGCAGATCTATCTTTTCTGTTAATTTTGTGCCTCTGGGCCATCCCTTAGGTTAAATGGCCAGGATGAAGCTCTGGGGAGGCTTCATTAAGGCCTGCCTCAGTCCAGGTCCAGGCAGGGCGATAGAGGTGTTCAACACCAGATGGTTCAACAGAGGGAATTAATTCAGAGAGCTGGCTACAAAGGGGTTGGAGTTCAAAGAACAAGTGGAGAATAGCAGGCAACTCAGAGATTAACTTGGTCCATGCCTACAAGTTCAATCCCAGATGCTGAACAAAGAAAAATTTGCTGACCATCGAGAAAAGAAAAGCCAAATACTCATTTCATGGCACAGTTCTGCTGGTCTATCCTCAGAACATTCATCACCATGTCATGTGCATATTATTATACTCATTTTAAGGAAATGGAGGCTCAGGGCAGGTAGGGAACAACATGCCCAAGACCGTCCCGCCTAAGTGGAGGAACCCATTTGGAATCTGTGCCCTTTGTGCAAAATTATGCTGTCAACCTGCCACCAGTAGGCGTGTTGGCCATCCCAGGAGAGAGACCACCCAAGGACAGCCCTGAGGAAAGCCAGGGTTTGGGCTCTGCTGAAATTCCCTGGTTCCTGGGGGCCAGGAACAGGAAAGGCGTAGCCTTGACCCTCCACATCCCACACTGCCCCTTTCTCCTCCCAAGTGGTTCATGACCAACCCTCTGTCCCTGCTCCAGTCAAGGCAGAGCGAACTGTAAGCCACACACCCTGAGGAAGAGCTCAAGGTGCTCAGGGCGGGGTGCAGCTGAGGACAATAGAGCCTTTCTCCAAGCTGGGCCCAGGCTCCTTGAAGGGGGGAGGCCGAGGCGGAGACAGAGCCCAGCCCACCCAGGGCTGCCAGCACCTGAGGGGAAGCACTGCACACTGAGTTGACAGGCATTGACAAGAGGTGGCTCTGGGGCCCGCGGCACAAGGAGGGGCCACTCCTGCCTCTCCTCCATTCTTGGTGTAGGCTTTGGGTCTGGGCCAGATCAGGATTGCAGGAGCCAGTTGAGCAGGGAGGCTGTGGGGTGACTGCCTGTCCAGGGTCAGTGGATGTGGGACCCCTAGCAAAGCAGAGATGGAGAAAGGAAATTGCCCCCCCGACAGAGACCACTCATGCATGTTCCTTGGGCCCCCCACGAGCCCCTCTAGGGGTCTCTGAAGCACATCCCAACGACTCCTACCATCTCCCCCTTCAGTTCTTCAGCCCCTGCCATGTTCCACCTTGTTCCACCCAAGCCCCCCCGTTCCTTCGCCTCCCTCAAATCTCTACCTGCTTCTGAGAAGACCACCATCTCAGGTCATACCATCCCCACCATCAGCTCATCCACTGGCCTACAGTTCTTTGTTGTTTCTGTCTCTCCAGCCCTAAGAAGCACCCGGCTCACAGCAGGTACTAGAAAAATGTTGCTACTAGATCACTGCCTATCTCCCCTTGGAGCTCTCCACCCCTAGTCCTCTTTCCTCCAGGAAGCAGAGAAAAGAAATCCACCCCAAGCTGCTTCCTCCCAGGCCTACTAGCACCCACAGCCGCACCCACCTGACCAAGGGGGCTCTGGAGTTGGCAGCGGGCACCCAGCCTCACGCTCCTATGTGGCAGCTACTTAACAGTAACTGAGTCACTGGACGTGCCATCCTTAAACAGTGTAATGCCCACAAGACAAAGTCCAAAGTTAAAGGGATTTGAAGATTCTGCTTTCTTCTTCGGTTTCTCCCTACCCACCTTGGATCATTCTGTTACCTGAAAGTTCTGTGCTTTGTTTCTTACCAAAAAAGCTTTCCCTCTGCCTGGATTAGATGATTTTCTTTCTTCAGAAAGCCTTTCCATTCCCCCCCCCCCCCCGGTATGGTTAGGTGCCTCTGTGCTGGGCTATTATTACACTGTGTAGTAAATACTTGTTTTATCATCTGTCTTCCTGTAGACCATGAGCTTCCTGAGGGTAGGAACCATGTTTACTGCTAAATACCCAGTGCCTAAAAGTGCTCAGTAGATATTTGTTAAGTTAGTTCACACAGAACAGGAAGAATGGACAAAGGAAGCATTTTTCCTTGTTTATTCAGAAGAGAAAGGCATCATGAATCCAGCGGGGAGGTGGGGGGGGGCATTGAGTCCCAGAGCTGCTCAGTGAGAAGTGCCTGGCCTAAGCTCCAGTCCCCCCAACTCTACAGAGCTCCCCCCAGCAGCCCTTCCCACTGGAGTCCTGGGCTGGACTTGAGCTGTGCCCCCTCCCAGGCCCAGCACGGGCCTCCTGAGGGCCAGCCCACGATGCCTGTGGGCACCCAGGTGGCAGCTCTGTGGGCAGCTCAATGGCTCCTCTGTTCTATCCCTGACTCCACACCCTGCTCCAGGAAACACTAGCCCCCCGCCCTGGGCGCGTCACCCAGAGAAGCCACCCACAGGGCTGGGAGTCAGGAGCAGAAGCAGAAACACCTGCGGGGAAGGCTGGCAAGATGGGCACCCACCCTGGGCACATAGGATCCCTGTCAGAGGCCAGGCCTGCCTTCCCAGTGATTTCTAGGTCATGTGAGGAGGCAAAACTGCTCGGGGGGTGGGGGGAGGGCTGCCTCCGCAGGCTTCTGACACCTTTGTTCTATCGTGATTTATTTTGTTTATGGGACCTTTACCTGACTACTGTGCTCACCGTTGTATACCGCATCCATCACGGGGCCTGGCACGAGGTAGGCGCTCAGCGCACATTTCCTGGATGCTCAAAAGGCCTCCCTCTCTCAGACTCTATCTTCTGGAGTGACACAGACTCTCAGATCCCCATTCACCCCAACTCTGACCACTCTCACAGACCAGTAGCTGCTGTAGGAGCAGGCCGTCTGGAGAACCAACATTTAATGGGGATCAAAGCCTCTGGTTCAAGGGCGGAAGGGAAGAACTGGCAGGGAAGGCACCTAAAACCAGGGCTAATATTTAGGCAAACCCTCTAGTAAACAGAATGCTACTGAAAGGCTGAAATAATTCCAAACTAGTAGGCAAGTAGCTGCTGCTCAGACGCCCCCTTGTCCCCATGCCTCCTGCCAACCAGATCCCCTCCCTCCTGCCATCCAGCAGGCTCCAGACCCAGCTCTTGTGCCTGTTCCTACTGGGCAGTGCCCCTCCCAGAGCAGCTGTCCGGCTTTGACTCTCCTTCCTGCCTAAGCCTCTCCTGAGATAGCTGGCAGGCCCACCATCTGGTGGGCCCTGCTAGGAGTTCCTGACCCCACCCATGGGGCTTGCCAGTCCAGGGGGAGGTAGGAGGGGGCACAAGTCACAGGATTTGGGCTCTGCAAGGTCCCCAAAGTCTATCCCTTCCCCTTTCCTCCATGTCTTCAGTTGACATTTAATGTCTGGAAGCCTCTGGTTTCTCACCTGTAGAATGGGGATGGTATTAGTACCTACCTCACAGGACTGGGAAGAGGACAATGAGCGTCAAAGTCCTTAGTTCAGAGACTGGAATGCAGTCGGTGCTCAATAGATGTTACCCCTGCTGCTGATCTCGTCTATTCAGACACTAAAGCCCAGAGTTTAGGTGCCTGATAGGGTACACAGATGGTGGCCATAGAGACAAGACTGGGACCCAGGTCTCCTGACTCTCAGTGCCTTGCTGCAGATTTTCCAGACAACTTGGGAAATGTAGCATCTTCTCCCCTCTCCTTGTAGATTTAAAATACACTCTAGGATGTTAAAGGCTCTGAGAAATCGTGTAGCAAAGAGAGCTGTCTAATTTTGTTTAACTCGGCATTTCTCCAAAGTATTTAACCGTGAAATCCTTTTTCCGCTGAAAGTCTGTCAGTTTTGGAAATGGTATACTATTTACCTTTCCCAAGATCAAACTTTCTGCACCCTCTTCCCACTTATTGGAATGTCTTTCCCAATTTTATCTGCCATGGAAACTCCTTCACATGAAACAAATTTGTTATCATCTTTTTCTAATTACAAAGAAATGTCATGCTTGTAAGACATTCGAACATCACAGACACACAATGGATGTCGACAACCCTTTTAAGGTGTGTCTGGGGCCACCTCAGGACTGGGTGGCAAGTGCTGGCCTTCAGGCTCGGGAAATGGTGAACTCAGCATGGGATGCACTCTCCATTCCTTCTCTGAGTCTCCTTCCCCTTGTTCCTCAGCAAATGCTCGGTGAACACCTCCCGTCTCCTGTCTGCAGGTGCCACGGTCCCACGGCACGGTGTTGGCAGCCAGCCTGCCGTCAGGCTGCCTGGCTGTGCACCTCAACTCTCCTACTTACCAGCTGTGAAACCATGCAAATGTGACTCAACACTCCTGTGCTTCAGTCTCCCTATATATAACCTGGGGATAAGAACAGAATCTTCCTCGTAGGGTCGCTGTCAGAAGCAACTGGTCTAAAACACATCAGCTGCTTCAAAATGGTACCAGGCACACGGTAGGTACTAACTAGGTAACTGTCTGCCGTTATATCATTAAAGAAGAAAAGACCAAATTTCTGGGTCCTCCAGGAGCTCACAGTGACAGCCACAAAGGGAGCTCCAAGAGTGCGGCACCTCGAGGTGCTGCGAAGCCCCGCGGCCGCGCCCCAGGCTCTGGAGGTACCGCAGGCTCACTGCGCACAGGGACTGGGCTCCCCCGCTGCTCTCGCGTAGCGTCCCACTGGTCTGCAGCGCCCTGGCTGTTCCCAGCTCCCAGCAGGTGGAGTGCCAGGGCTGACTGAGGTGTCACTGAGTCACTGGCCAAGCCAACAAGCTGCAGATGCCTTCCCGAAAGAGTGAGTGCCGCAGCGTGAGGAGGTGGCAGTGGGAAGAGTGGATGGGCCTGCCATAAAATGCGCCAGTAGCTGGCAGGCCTCAGCAGTAAAGCTGAGCACCAATGGCAGCAAAGATGGCCAGCCCAGGCCCCAAAGGGTTAAGAGCTCTAACCAGGCCACAAAGGTCCCTTCACCTGGACCCTTCTCTTTTCCTCTCCCTGCTTCCACCGGAGGACATGTGCAAGATAAACAGATCAGAACTCCGGACTCTGTGGAAGTCATAATAAGGAAAATTAAAGCAAGACCGAACAAACTCAAAAAAGGCAAGGACCAGGTCTTGTAGGCGGTGAGTCCCTTCAGCGCTCAGGCCAGTGTCACTTAATGCTATAGAAATCCTCAGTGAACACTGGCTAAGGCACGATCCTGCGGCAGCCCCTACCCGCCCTCCTGATCCCAGGGCAGGGATGTCTTGTTTGACTTTGGACACCCTCAAAGTTTCCTTCCCTTTCCTCTTTCTACCTGTTTTTTCACTTGTTTCCAAATTTGGGCCTGGAAGATCCAAGTCCACATGGACACCACATATGAGGTGTATCTATTTTTTAAAGTTCTTGATATTTTGGGCCCTGTGAACTCCTGTGAGAATCTGGGAGCTGTGAGCCTTTTCCCAGAAAAATGCTCATGCACCCAAATATTTGCACACAATTTCTGGAGGTTCATGAACCCCAGAAGCTTCTCCATGAGCTAAGAACAAGAGCCCTGGTTTCAGTGCATCCGGGGTGCCTGCCTTATTGTTCACATCATCTCTTTCACTGTCTCTCTGTCACACACACACACACACACACACACACACACGCGCACACACACACACATACACACACATATCTTGGCAGGATGGAGGCAAAGGACACACTGTGCAGATGGTCACAGGCAGCTCAAAGCTTCATCCAATTAGGGTCCCTTTCCCATCCCCATCCCCCTTTCCTAATTAGACCAGGTTTTCCCTGTTGCAGATCTGAGAAAAGGGAGCAAAGCAAGGAAGGCCCAGTTCTCTCACCCCTCTGCCCAAGTGTGGCCTGGAGGCCAGACAGGGCCCAGCACCATGAGGGAATTCTTCCTATGGCCAGACGGTGAGGCCCTGCCTGCCCGGTCCAGGGTGCAGCTCCCACTGCTCCCACACCTGCCCTGCCAGGCCTGCCCAGATGGCACCCTTGCCCCCTTGCCAAATGCGGCAGTGGGCTTCAGGGAGAGCCAGCAGCCAGAGCCCTGCATGGGGAGACACTAACTGTCTTAAGCTCCCTGGGCCTCTCAGGGTCCTGCCTAAATTCCCATTCTCTCCTGCCCCCCACATTCACTTTCCACAGGGCTCGTTTCTCCTCAATCATCTCATCACAGAAGTATTTCCACCCATTTCGTCAAACCTCACAACCCAGGCCCTCTCACAGGGTTCGGGCCCTCCTGGCACCAGCCACTGGGCTCCAGGAGAAGAAGAAAAGTGGGCCAGCCTATGGCACATCCTGGTCTGCAGTCCCTATCTCACCTCAGGAAGTGACCCCAAAGCAAAAAACCAAGAAGACCTGCCTGGCTGAGAGGAGAGGAACAGAGAATTGGGACAAAACACCTCACAGAACATAAACTCCAGATCAACAGGCCAGCTCACTGTTCAGGGACAGCAACTTGGGTTTAGGATAAGGGGCTCAGGGACCTAACCTGGACTCGTCCTAAGGGAAAACTCTGGGATCCCCCAAACTCTGCTCCTAAACGAGTGGAGCTGCTCTCTCTCAATGGTGGGAGGCTCCAGGTCAGGGCCCGCAGAGACAATGTCCCTGCCCCTGAGCCAGTTTGGATGGCATCCTGGATCCTTCTCATCACACCCACTAAAGAAACCACAGATTGTGTAGCTCCTGGGAGATCCTGCTGGATTTCATTCCTGTCCCTGCAGCTGACAAAGGAGTCAGACACCTCTTGGCCCCTAAGGTCTGAACAGCCCACAGATCACAGAGTCGACCCAGGTTGAGGAATGGCTGCCCTCGGTGAGAAGCGGCTATGGATCATCCACAGTTGTGTGGATGCAGCCCCTTCCTTGGGGGTCTCTGTGGGGAAATGTACAAAAGGGAGCTGTAGTTAAGGGAGTCTCTGACCTTCAGGTCACCCTAGCAATGGGCGTATTTCATTCACTCCTTTTTAGGCCAAGCATGTCAGGCACTTGGGAAATACAGACATGAGGAGGACAATGGTCCTTGTCCTAGAGGAGCCCATGGCTTGGGGGGTAGCCTGTTAGGCCATTCCAAGACTGCAGAGAGGAAGGCCAGGGATAGCTCAGGCCCATGTGCCAATGGGCAGTGGTCAGGGAGAAGGACACTAACTGGTCAATAGTAAGAACAAGGCCTCATGCTCCCTCTGCCTCACTGCCACCACCACCTCACATCGCCCAACAGTGGGCGACAATGAGGAAGGAGAGGAGCTGAAGGATGTGATGAAAGCACAGGCTCCTTCTGCAGGCTAAGGATCCTGGCCCAGGTTGGGCAGTCATGCCCCATGGCAGGAACTAGGGGAAAAATAATTCACATTCCTGAGGCTTCTGCTCTGACCCCGACACATCTCTCTTATCCAGGAAATCGGGCAGAACGGCACTCTCTCCACCAAAGGCTTAACACTGGAGCCAATGGATTTGCCCTCCAATCAAATAAAACTGTGTTCTCCACTGAAGAAAGGGATTAAGCCCCAGAGCTGAGCTTCCAGGGTTGCGTGAGGAAGGGACAACAGAGCCAGGGCAGCCCACAGAGTCACTGCCGTGGAATTTAGGGCTAGAGGGACCTGGAGATGGCTTTCAGCTATCAAGGAGGGAGAAGGCTGAAATGGGGTTGGGCAAGGGATGGCTTCTCCACCAGAGCCTCTGAGGCACTGTGAATGTTCTCCAGAACAGTGAATGCCCGGCTTTCCCTTCATCCCATGCCTGCACGTCCCCCAAAGGCTCTAGCCTCCCTCAGAATGGGCCCGGTAAAGGGGAGGCCAGGAGGAGACAAGTGGGCTCAGCTGCTCAGCCCCTTCTGGGCAACAGGTTCTAAGCACTGACTGCCCCCTTACCTGGGGGGGACAAGGGAAGTAGTGCAGGAGTGGGCCCGCCTGGACCTCAGTGGTCAGTATCCTTGGTGAAGAGCTACATACCGCTTGTTCTGGCTTCCTGAGAACAACAGTCCACCTGGCTCCAGGACCACATTGGGTAAGGCAAAGGCCAGCTCTTGCGGTAGCCACAGGGAGAAACCCCAGCGCCCCCCCCTCCCCCGGCCCGCCCTCCTTCCTGGGGCTCCAACACCTGCAAGGAGGCTTGGGCTCCCTGAAGAGGAGCAATGGAGCTCTGTGCTGCCTCTGCCCAGGGGGGAGGGGTCAGAGATCAAAGGGCAGGGAGGCCATAAACTGGCGTAGGGTGGGGGGGGGGGTGCTCAAATTCCGTTAGAAAAACGCTCGCTGATTAGGCCCCGGGAGGAGGCGGAGGACTGAGATGAGGAGGGCAGAGCCCGTGAGGAAGAGGGCCACTGGTCCCGGGGCGATAACAGGGACAGAAGCTGAGTTTGGGGCGCACGTCCCAGATTAGTCAGTCGAGAATTTGAACAAAGGTGGTTGAAGGCTCCGAGCCCCCGGGTCAAGGATTAAGATTTGTCCGCCAGGAACCGTGACATTGAGGGGCCCAGGCCCGGCCCCGGCCAGGCCACCTTTGTCCCTCTTGAAAGCCCCAGACCTCCTACCACCTCTCCTCCCGGCCACCCCCGCCCCGGCGCAGCACTCACCCGGTCGCTACTGGCGGGGGGTCCAGAGATCCGCTCCTCAGGAGGGGGCGCTGGGGGGCCAGGGGTCTCAACCCGAATAAGGCGGTGGGGAGGCGAGCCGTGGCGCGGGGGCGGCGTGGGGCCGGGAACGGCGGGGGTGGCTGGAGCAGCAGCGGAGCTGGACGGCCCCCCAGAGTAGGGGTCTTCGAAGTCGCGCTCCCTCTGCAGCCGGTAGGCGGCCAGGATGTCCGGGGGTGGCGCAGGGGGCGCGGCCGGGGAGGGTGCGGGGGGACGGTAGTCCGGCTCCGGGGGCGCCGGCTTGCCCCC